AAATTAATTTTTTAAAAGAAAGAAAAAATATTTAACAAATTCTTTCTTAATTATAATATATTGTCTAAATTTTTATTCAAAGCATTCTTTTTTTTTAAATTGTTAAAATTAATTTTATCATAATTGAGATTGATTAACAATATTATATAAAATTGTTCTGTTGTTTAAAATTATTATTATCTATTATTAAAAAAATTACTTACCTCTATTTCGTTATTTCCTAATCGAATAGAATATACATAAATATTAGGTATTGTATTCTCTATTAATTTTTTTATTGCTCCCAAACTAAATGAAAAACAACAACTGTCTCCTAAAATATTATTTTAATTATAATATTTAATATAAAAAATAGTACATACCAACATATGATAATTATAATTATAAAATGATTTATATTAAAATTATAATTAAAATTAAAATATAGTAAAAAAAATCTATTAAAAAAATTTTTTTAAATATTTTTTTTTATTAAAAAATTGAAAAATATTTCAATTATTTTTTGCATAATATTACGGAATTAAAATATATAAATGAAAATATATAAATTTGTAATAATCTAATAATTTATTAAAAATAATTAAACATAAAAACATAATTTACATTGTTTTTTTGGTAGAAAATAAAACAATATAACTATCATATAATATCATATAACTATCATATAAATTTTCAATCTAAATTTATTATATCTACTATTATAATTTCTTAAACTAAGCATTAATATAGATATATGTAAATAATAAAATAATAAAAAGATTTACCCATTCCATGCCAAAGAACAATTGGAAGAGATTCAGTTTGAATACCATTAAATTGGTATATACATAAAAAAAGTAATATTAGTAAAATATGTTGTTTTTCCATAATCATTATATTTTTTTATATATAAATTGATTGTATGAATAATTATTCCTAAAAATAAATAGATACTTAATATTTTTAATTGATTAAAAATTTTTATAAGCAAATAAGAATTGATAATACAACTCGAAAAAAGATAATCCCATATAAAAAAGAAAATGAAATTAAAGACTAACAGTTTATCACTTGAGGTTTTATTATATTATACTATTTATAAACAAAGAAACATTTTAGACGTTCGATATACTAAAAACATATTAAACACATCTTCTAAATATCTTATGATAAATAAGAATAATAAATAAGAAGTTCTTTTATAAATAAATATGATAAATAAATCAAAACCAGAATGATAAAGACAGAAAAACTAATACGATTTAAATATTCGAGTATGTGTTCATATATATATATGTAAATAATTATGTATATATAACATTTTTTATATGTATATTTTATATATATATTCATATATATTTTTTTATCAGTATATTTTTATGAATAAATTATTATATATAATTGTAATTTATTTATATATAATTTTTTATATAAACAAATATTTTAATAAAGATTAATGATAAAATAAATATCTATATATAATTAATACAATATTAAATATTTTTAATAATAATGTTTTCCAAATATCATGAATGTCATAAAAAGTCTTACTAATGTCTTATGAATGTCTGTTATTTATTTAAATTATTTAAATACTTATTTATATTACGAATACGTATCTTGTTTGTAACATAATGCGTCCAGAAAACTTGTTTAAGACGTTCCTAAGACATTATTAAACATATTTAACATTTTATGCATCTAATACAAATGTTTTAAAGTTATTCTTTTGTGTGCTGTTACTATGAGTTATGTAAATTTTAAACAAGATATTATACAATATTTAAACTACAAAAATTATATATGCATGTGCCCGCACGCGCGCATGTGTGTGTACAAAATATCTCGTATTATAGAAAGTATAAAGTTCAATTTAAGATTCAAATACAAAAATAAATCAAAAATATATAGTTTTTATTATTTAAAATTTTGCTAAGTATTGCTATTATTAAAGTTTTTCCGAGTAAATTAAGATGTATAAACAAGTATGAATAAAACGCAAAATTATTTTACCAAAAAAGATATTATCTTGTAAAACTTTCGTATATTTAATTTTATTAAATAACAATTATTAAATTATTGTGATAATAATTAAATAATTAAACTTTTTTATTAAAATTATTATTTTATAATTTTTAATAATTATGAATTTACAAAAAAATAATATCATGTAATGAATTTCTATCTTTGTAGTACAATCTTAAATTTACACTTAAAATAATTATTTTCAAATTATTACATTTTTTAATTATTCTATTTAAAATTAATATTACTATGAGCTTTGATATTTTTACTTTTTAGGTTATGTTCATTATGCATATAATGCGTACTCTGTAAAGCTATGTAAGGTTTGATGTAATTAATTAAATAATTATTAAGCTAAAATAACTTTACATGTATGATTAAGTTATATTAAAAAAATATATTATATGAGCAATATAAATTATTTTTACAACAAACCTCTCGAATCTGTACGACTAGAAGAAAACTAAGTTCAAATGACGTTTGACAAAACATCAAGTATGATATAAATAATGTATATAATACAAAGAAAAAATTAAAAGAAAAAGAAATTAAAACAAATAAATATGAACAGATTATTTTCATTTGATAATAAATAATAAAAACAACATAATTTTAAAAATATATTTTTTTTAAATATACAATTGTTTTTTTATATATTTTATTATAATATAGATATTAATTATTATTATTATTAGTTTAAAAATATTAAATTTACTTTCTTTATAAAATATAATTATTTAATTTTATATATTAAATAATAAATATTAATTTTTAATTTTTTTTTTATATAATTTTTTTATCAATTATATGTAATTATTTATTTAATGTATATTATTTAAAAAATTTTTTGAATTTAATAATAAATATTTTTATTCTTTTTTAATTTTAAATTTTATTTGTTTACTTTATTATTACAAATTATAATTTATTTTATATTATTTCATAAAAGATATAAAAATTTAACAAATAATTTTCAAAAGTAAAATATGTAAAAATTTATTTTATTTATTTTTATATAACAAATCAAATTTTTTTCTAGTACTATTTGAAATCTTTTTTTTGTATTATATTCTTACTAAGAAAGAATATAGTTTTTTATAAAAATAGACTTTAATTTTTTAAATAAAATTATAATTAATTCTCTTACATATAAGATATTTAAATAGATAAATTGTATATAAAAAAATATTCAAAATTCTTTAAGGATTTTAATTTGATTCTTATAGATTCTAAATAGATAGATTGGTAAATATAATATAATCTATTTTGTAAATCATAGAATTTATTTATAATTTTAATAAAATATAGTACAATCATTTAGCACAATCAGTGGTAAATATAATGGAATTGGAATATTACAATCTGTTCAAAGTAAATTTTTGTTAAATAATAAATTTCATTTTGCATAAAAAAAACATAAAAATTTTCTTTTTTATCATATACATACATTGCATATTACATTAAAATTCTGAAAAAGTTAATTGTACTTTTAAAAAAATATCAATAAATTATCTTTTTGTTGAGATAAGATTCCACTACACAAGCGACACTATAGTATAATACTATTACGCGCTCAATTGAATATTTCATCGTCATCTTACTCAATCTAATATAAATTTCAATTGCTTATAATTCATTAAATAAGCATATATATAAATGAATTTTTTTTATCGTTTTGATATCTAGAATCAACCACTCAAAAATGTTCTATATTTTTATAAACATTCTAAAAATTATATAGAATATATAATATAAATAAAATGTATTATATATGTATGAATAGATATATATATATAATTAATATTCAATACATGATTCAATACATTTAATCAAAATTATAGTAATTTTAAAATATTTTTATTATATTTATTAATTTAATAATAAATATAAATTTAATTCGTATACTAAAAAAATTACTTTATAGATATATAATACAAATTTTCCAAAATATTTTTTATAATATTATATTTAAAAATTATTATAATTATAATAATACACATATAGCTTAATATACATTATAAATATTATATAAAATATATTAGTTATTGTTGTAATATAAAACTAAAATAATTAAAAAATTTGTAATTAAAATTTTATTATTATTTATATCTATATATTATATTATTAAATATCTATTTGTTATTCGATCTTTTTGTTCTTTTGTTAATCTATGATTATAACCTATTTATTCCAACTCTTGTTTTTAAATATATATTTAAATATATATGTATGTATATATATATATACATATATATATATATATATATACATATATATATATATTATATAATATATAAAATTTATAAAATAATATTTCATAAAAACAATACACTAATTTTTTATATAAATATGATTTTTATGTAATAATATTTATAAATATTAAATTATATTAATTAATAAATAATATATTAATAAATTGACTATAATAATATTTTGCATTATTTATATTTTTACAAAAAATATTCTTAATGTGTAATATTTATAAATAATAATTATAAAAATTTTATTAATAGGAATAAAAAAATTTAATAAACTATCTAATAAACTATCTAAATCTAAATAAGAAAAATCTTATTTAGATATTTTGTATAATATATATGTATATGTTTATTTTATATTATACATATTAATATTATTATATTCTTTCTTTTAATAATATATATATTCTTATATATTTTTAAGTGTAATTTAATATAATATATTTAAAGTTTTAAGAGTTATATATAAATATAAAATATATATATATATATATATATATATATATATAATAATATATATTAATTTAAAAAAATAATAATAGATCACATTGATTGTGTATTTAGAAATATTTCATAATTAAAAAATTGATACATATAATATTAATAAGCGAATCTTATATCTACACATATCTTCTCTTTTCTAATTTTCTATTGAATCATTTGTTATATTTATTTAAAGAGAAGAAAATTATAAGAAAATTTTAGTTTTCAATAGAAAATTTGCGTCACATTTCAATAACGTCACTCGTGATTAGAGTAAACGCGTATAAGATAGTTGGTATGACACATAACCTAGAAATATTTAACTTTCAAAACGACTTGTGGAAAAAGTTTTGTTGTAGTTATTATGTAAAATATTTGTGAAAACCTATAAATATTAGAAGTACTGTTTTAATTTTTATGACTTATTATTTATTTCTGAATTTTTTTATTGACTTTAAAAAAACATGATCATTTATTTCATAACTTTCTGCATTTATAAGAAAACTCATGTAATTTAAATCAGCATGTGTGTAATTCTACATTTCTAGAGAATACGTTTTTAGAAGAATAATTGTGAACATTGTAAATATATGAACAAATATATCCATATTTTCTTCAAAATTTAAATTTTATGTTTGTATTAAGTGATAACCTTGGAAAGTTTGAAACAAAGATTTAATTTAAAAAACTGAATGATTAGAATTTATATATTATCCAAAAGGTAATTTAGAAAGAAATATTTTTTTAATATGAATGTTAATAATACATTAATAATTAATTCTACAAATTTATAGGATGTTTTTGGAAAATAATGATTATTATCAGAATGATATTTTTAATGATTATCAAAGAAAATAATTTTAAAATACATAAGGAAAGATAGGAAAAGATTTTTTCAATGTCATGTGAAAAGTTGCTTTGTTGTTTAAAGTTGGTAAATTTATTCTATAATAAAATTATATCTTAAATTATATTATATATTGTATTTTTAAATTTTAATACTCAGATAATCATGGATGAAAGGAGGGTAGCAGATTATTTTGTTATTGCTGGTTTACCTGGTCAAGACAATGATTTTAATAGTGATAATGAAAATAATGACCAATTAGAAGATTGGTATCAAGAAGGAACACATGTAAAAGATATTAATATGAAACCTCCTATTACTGATCTTGCTATCATATTTCCTGCATTGGGTGAAAAATGTCCAGAAGGATATGTTTTGTTAGAACATACTGTTTCAGGCTTACCTGCTGATTTAAACCATGGAAGTCTAAGAACAAATGAATGTTATTTATGTTATCGTCGAGGACGTGATAAACCACCATTAGTTGATATAGGTAAGATAAAATTTTGAAAATATTAATACTTTATATATACATAATTTAATATTTACACTTTATAATTTATATATATTTTACATTATATATAATAGTTATAATTTTAACAATAAATAAAAAATAATAAAAATAAAACATTTATAATAAACTTAAAAAAAAATTTAATAAATTCAAAAATATTTTTATTAATCTTATATTTTAATACTTAAAAAATATTGATAATTTAAATGATAGAATATTTTGATTTTATATTGAATATAATAAAAAATCGTTATTTATATATAAACTTGCATAAAAAGATTATAGTTACATGTTATTAGAATGATCATAACTAATCAATATCACATTTATATTTTATATATTTTATATATAAATAAAAATTTAATTCTTTCATGTTATTTAATAAAAACATAATAAAAGATAATATATTAAATTTTTATTATTAGTTTTTGTTTTATAAATTATTTATTGTTTTATATTATTTTATATAATTATTTTATACTTTGTTTATATTATACTATATTGTCACAAGTTTTATGGAATATAAGCATACAATATATAATAGAGAAATATTTTGTAATCTTCATATTTAAAATATATTATAGTCTAAAAAAATACAAATAATATTTAAAAAATTTATTGTATAATATTTAATTATATTAGTTTAATAAATATTGTAAAATTAATATAAAATCTTTAAAAAAGAATGTGCAATATTTATGTATAATATGAGATGAATTATTAAATCTCATTACAAATTTTCATATAGAATAAATGAAAAATTAAAATTATTGCAATACAGTAAAATATTTCAAGATAAACCATTTATTATTTTTTTGCTTTTAAAATATTGATCATTTAATATAATGATCAAGATTATTGTTAATTAAATAAATATAATGTTATTTTATGTAAAAATTTAAAGTATGATACAAGCAATAATATATGTTTAAAGTTTTTCATTAAAGTTACAAAAAATATAAAATTTTTTTTATAAAATTTGATAAATTTTGAAAATATAACTATTAAAATTAAATTCAAAAAATTTTTTATGAAGTTTTATGAAATTTTTAAAATATATAGAAAATATTTAGATATAATCATTAAGTCAGGTATCATAGTTCTTCCACCTTCCAGTTTGGATCTTTAGGTTCTTTTTGGAAAATTTTACAAGGCAAAAAATTTATTTTACTCAAGTTGAAACCAAGGACATATAAATTGTGATTAAATAACAAATAAGTTTGAAATCCTAGAAGATATATACATTTATTGTAAGTAATGGAGAAACATGATAATTCATTAAAAATAGGTCATTTTAATATTTTTATTAGATTGACCTTTAACAAAAAATATAAATTAATGTAATTAGAAGAAAAAGATGTTGGATTTGTAAATATGTTTTATATATGTTTTATATTAATATTCAAATAAAAAATATCAATGTATCTTATTTGCAATGGATATTACTCAATATATCAATATATCTATTTATGCTTCATTATATTCTCTTTATAATTGTCTTAATTATATATTACACATAAAAATTATACATTTTTTTTCTAATTTTTATAATTTTAGATATTCATATAAGTATTTTTGACAATGTTGAAAAAGTTTTTTTTTTTTTTAATATCTTTTTTATTTTTTGTTATTGTAGAATATTTTGAAAATATTTTATAAAGCTATTATATTAATTTTTCAAATGCTACTTTTCCTTAAAATCTAAAAATTTCTTAATTGATAAATTAGAATAAATAATGTAATATTAATATTTCAATTTTATTTTAGGTTTTTTGTTTTGTATTAATTTTATAGTATCAACTTATAATTATTTGAATTAATTTTTCAATTATAAGTAATAATTAATATATTAATTACAAGTAATAATTGCTATAATAATTAAATTATAATTAAATATAATAATTAGTTTATATATATATATATATATGAAATAATTAATTGGTATTTAAAATTTTTACACACTTATAAGATGATTTGACTTTTTGTATATAAAACAACTTTTATAATATATTATAAAAGTTATATATTTAAATAATTAATAAAATAGTGTGTAATTTATATGTGTAAAATATTATTAATAAAATTATAAAAATACATCAAAATATTGCTTATTATACTTGTTGATATAACTACTAGAGCTAGGTATACAAATCATTATTTTTATGAAATTATAATATTTCAAATTTTATTTAAAAAAATATTGCATGTTCTTGCTTTTTATAATCGCTTTATATAATTTTAGTGTAGTATATAGCATAGAAATTAGGTTTATCAATATATTTAATAAAATAAGTATTTTAAATAATATATCATAAATTATTAATATGAATTATTAATATTAATTAATATAAATTAATTTATAATAGATGTCTTTAATTGTGTTTTAATTTAAAAAATAAGGAAATATTAAGTTTATCAATTTTTTAATTTAAATTTTTCAATTATATCATTAGTAATATTTAATATATATAAAGAAATTATAATTTTGCAATAAATATTGTAATTAAAAATAAAAATTATAATTTAATAGGATAAATTTTTTTTTAATTTTAGCTACATTATTTTAGTGATACAGTTTAAATTAATATACATTGAAAATTTTGTAATTATATAGAATTAATTAACAATTATTAATATAATTGAATTAATATCATTGTAAAATATTAAGAAATACATATTACAGGTGTAATATATGATGGTAAAGAACGTATAATGCAAGATGCAGAGATGATATTAGAAACTCCGAAAGGATATTTAGCTAATGTAAATAATTCAACATCAAGAATATTTGTGACATATAGACGTGCAAGTCGTAAAATGCCATGCAATTCATTAGTTGTGACTGATATTTGTGTGATATTAACAAATAAAGGAGAAACTCCCCCACATGCATTCTGTGTCATCAATAAAAATTTAAACAAAGGCATGCTGGGTAGTGATGTGTTTTTGTGTTACAAGAAATCTATGAATCGGGCAAATTTGATATCATTTAAACCTGCAATATTATATAAATATCCAATAGTTGATTATAGCAGCTTCATCTTCCCAAATTCTGTTGCAATGTTTTGTTTACCAATGGGAGCAACAATAGAGTGCTGGCCCAAAGTAGCATGTAAACCTAAACCAGTATTTTCTACATTTGTTTTGACGGTTGCTGATGCAGCTCAAAAAATATATGGATCAGCATTAACATTTTATGAGGAACTTGAATTAGAAATGGATATTCCAAATTTTAAAGAAAATCAACAACCAGCTGATGTATTTATGGAAAATATAAAGAATTCTGGTAAGTATTATATATATTACTATAAATACATACTTTAATATCATGTTATTATAATATTATAATATCACTTATTATAAATTTTCGAATAAAAAACCTAAACGCCTAATAAAAAACGAGATATTTCATCCATAATTGCAAAAAGTTTTTGATTCCAATTTAACAAAACTTTAGTTAAATTTGAAGAATAAGCAAAAATATTAGATGTATATTCTTTTTTTTTAGCTGAGCTAATTCAAATTTTAAAAATCATTCTCAAAAATTTGATTTGATCTTGAAATTTCGGAAATAGAAATTAAAGATACAAAAATTATATGATTTCTAATTCACAAGAATAAAATTAGAGTTAGAATTAGAGTTAGAACTAAAAAATTTTAAAAAGAAAATTGAGATGATTTTATTTATTTGAAAAATGACTATTCATATATCAAAATTATATTTTTATTCCAAAAATAACGATATACATATTATGTATAATTACTTCAACAATTAATATAAAATTCCATATTTTTTGTTACTTGTTTGTATCAAACCGATCACTTACGATATTTGCATCAATGCTAAATACGTAAAATTTATTAAAATTATTACGATTCATAATTTCTGTATAATTACAAAAACAGAAAGTTTTTCTAACTAAATATATAATTGCAATTTATCTAGATTGATTTCGTCTTATATAATAATAATATTATATCGTCTATATTTATACATTATATATTATATCTACGTAATAATAATTCATTACAATTATAATTCGCTATTTCTTCATCCTATATATTATTAATATTTCTTCATTATGTTAAATAGACATCTAGATGATTGAAATCTAACAGTGAATCATCATTTTCTTCTTCTTTATTTTTTTCATTTTTTATTATTTCTAGTATATTTTTTCTTATTTAATTTTATAATTCCGATAGAATTTACCAAATATTGAATTTTTAATTTCTTGGTTAAATCCAAAATATTATAAAAATTATTTATTCAAATGATATATCTAGGATAAATTCGTAATTGATTCGTAATATCAATAAGTTTTATATATATATATATATATATATATATATTTTCGTTTAT